AACCAAAACTTAATGTTTTTAAATTCTCTTTTATAAACATAGGAATGGTTGCTGAAGCTTGGGGTTATGACTGGGGTGATCATTCAAGGTCATTACATCAAAAAGCATAGAACAGCTGGAGCATGCAATAAATTATCTGGGCCCTTAAATTCTACAGTGTCAACAAACGACAATTTAATAGAGCAGGTATCAATTAAAAAAAATCCTGTTCTCACTCAGTTTTAGAAACATGTTTTGGATGCTACTAATGCACCTTGTAAAATTATTTTTTTTAACAACTGAGACTTGAGCAATCTTTTGTTTCATATTGCAATAAATTTTGAAAATATCTTGAATGAAAAAGATCATGAAGATACATGTATATTTTATACATGAAATTTACATTTAGAACTCATGTGCCTAACACCTTCTATTCTTGTTTAACCCTGCAGATAAATTCATACCATGATGCATCTGTGACTATAGTTAGTCTTTATATTGCCTGCATCCTTGTTTGTTTCTATGGTACAAAGGAACACAAAGGTAAGAAAAGCAGAACAGCCAAATCACAGATTAATTTGTATTCAACCTAGTTATGTTCCCCAAACGGAGTTTGGGAACATATTGATTTTACTCGGTTTCTTATTATTATTATTATTAAGGTCTTCCGTCTTCATGGAAGACCTTATAGTGATTGTATTGTTTCTTATTAATATTATTATTATTATTTAATATTATTATTAAGGTCTTCCGTCTTCAGCGGAAGACCTTATTGTTTTTCTTAGGTTTCTTTTCCACTATTTTTATTATTATTGTTTTTTTTCTTACCGATATTGTACGCGCGATTTCTCGAGAATGGCTCGATCGATTTTCATGAAACTTTCAGGTCTGATAGAACATCAAAAAATCTAGATATATATTTTTTTATTTTGATGACGTCACTTCCGGTTCGGAGTTTTCTGCGATTTAGTGATTTTTATAGGGTCACTTTGTCCGGCAGTTTTCTCAAAAAGCACTTATCACAGAAGCTTGAAATTTTCAGTGATGCTAGAGCAACTTTTGGAGAAGTGCACTAAATATATCACAACTACCGGAAGTACGAAGCGCCGACGCTCGCTATGGCCCGAAAAAAGTCCTATCAAGAATTTCAAAATTTTAAGCACCTTTTCAACGATAACTTTTTACCTAGAAATATTTTGTTAAAGCATGTAGAACAAAAATGGTGTAGAATTTCAAGATCTTTCAAATGACATCTCGAAAAAAGGGCTGGCCCCTTAAATAAGGGGCCTGGAGGAGCCGAAATTTTTTCCTTTATATCTTATAAAGTATTGATATTTTGTGATACGTCAAAAAAGCAGAGTTGTTCAAAATGTCAAGCTTAATCTATTGAAGACATCAAAATACGTCCGGCGTCGTCACTTTCGGCGAAACCGGAAGTAGTCGGAAAACGCGTATTTTTGCCGTTTTTGACAAGTATTTTGGTAACACATGTCTCTGGGAGCATTAAAATTAATTTTCCGTCCGTCGTCGTCACTTCCGGTCAAACCGGAAGTAACAGAAAATGGCTTATTTTTGCAATAATTAACATGGATTTAGAGGAATCAAACCATTTTTGGACGTTATTTCTCATTTTTGTTAAAAATGAAAGCCACTTCCGGTCAAACATGACGGAAGACCTACTCGTTGCTTTGCAACGAGCTTTGCTCTAGTTATTATTAAGGTCTTCCGTCTTCACGGAAGACCTTATAGTGATTGTATTGTTTCTTATTATTATTATTATTATTATTATTCTTTTTTTGACAAAATTTTGTGCACGCGATTTCTCGAAAACTATTCAGCGGTTTTCAACGAAACTTTCATAAAAAATGCGTTATTACATGAAGTTGTGCAGTCTATAATTTGTTTTGGAAAATTCGCTTCCGGTGCCAAGTTATGGACAATTTTCTGATTTTAAAATGCGTTTTTGTCGCGCACTTTTATCGAAAATGGCTAAAGATATGAACTGGAGACTTATTGGAGACAATAGCTCGTGACTTTCTGGTCTGCAGAATCACCTTTTTGTGTGTCGTCAATACTTCTGGTCGTTACGAGATGCAAATTTAAAAAACCGTATTTTTCGAACTTTTTTGTTTTCCAATATTTTTCATTTATTTTTGGAATGCTAACAGTAACCCTTCTTATAATGCTTGCTATATGATTTGTTTGTAAATTGATAAATCCAAACTCCACATATTAGCATTTAAAAATCTGAAGCGGGTCCAAGATGGCGCCTGTCCCTGTCAACTCCGACATTTCGCAATAGGGGTTTACGGAGTCAGCCGAGCGTTTGCTTGAACGAAGGTAACATAAGGATAAATGAAATGTAAAGGAATACTTGGATTGTCACGTTGTATTTACGTTGCAATTCTGTGTCAAACTAAGTTCTTCTTAAACGTCTTCTATAATTGATTTGGCTGGTTCTCAAAGTAGAAAAAGAAAAGACTAAATGTGCAAATGAAATACGATACCTAATACATGTATCTTCTGATTTGCAACACGGAAAAACATATCTTAAATCATATTTATAAGTAATTGTTTTTCAAGAAAGAATATCAATGAATACAGTAAGTATAAAACTTGTGTCATATTAAACTAACAGAAAAGACAAAATAAGATAGCTATTTTTTTTAAAAGATCGTTTAATGGGGTTTGTATTAAAATTATTGTCTCGAAGATCTGATTCAAGTTATTGAGCACAAATGGTATCCAATTCCCTGACTGTCGAAAGGCGAGCCATGTTTTTCGGCGAAACACTATAACCTTTTCATGGAAATTTAACTAATCGGGAGAGTTCACTTTGGGGATAAACAGGAAATTAAAAAAGGTAAAAATCCGTAGCCGTATCACTGCTTTAGTCGTACTTGCTTACATACGATATGGAATTTGTAAAATTAAATGTGTTAAATATGCTTTCTTATCCTCGAATTTAAGGCTATAAGAACATTTCTTTATTTCATTGAAGCTATCACACCTATAAGATAGAACATTCCAAAGAAAAGGCGCTAAGATTAATTCGTGGCGTTTGGCGCGAAATTATGAATAGTGACTCGCCTTTCATAATTCTAAGACAAAAGCACTGTTATACCGAGGTATATACAAGAAAATTTAGAGCAGAGGTCCCAAAAGCGTAATATTTTTTTGCTGGATTTTCATGTTGGCAACTAGCGTTTGGCGCTAAATTTTGAATAATGACCTGCCTTTCATAATTTTAAGAGAGAAGCATATTCGTTAATATATACAAGTAGATTAAGAGTAGAGGTCCTGATAGCGTAATATTTAGTGCGTTGGAATTTCATGGCGACTTGGGTTCAATCTCCCTTGTGTGCAAATCTTTTTTTTTACTTTTTCAGCTCGATTTTACGTCTTCTTTCCGGAATCGGACGGAAGACCTCTCGTTGCTCGCAACGAGTTTCTCATCTAGTTATTATTCTTTTTTTTGACAAAATTTTGTGCACGCGATTTCTCGAAAACTATTCAGCGGATTTCAGCGAAACTTTCATAAAATATGCGTCATTACATGAAGTTGTGCAGTCTGTAATTTTTTTTGGTAAATTCGCTTTCGGTACCAAGTTATGGACGATTTCCTGATTTTAAAATGCAATTTTGTCGCGCACTTTTATCGAAAATGGCTGAGGATATGAACTGGAGACTTATTGGAGATGATAGATCATGACTTTTTGGTTTGCAGAATTGCCTTTTCGTGCGTCGTCAGCACTTCCGGTTTCTGCCGGAAGCATATTTAAAAAATGCAATTTTTCATTTTTTTTTGTTTTTCGATATTTTTCTTTGGTGTTTTCTATCTAAATAGAGACTCATTTGCAAATGCGTAATATGTAATTCTTTTTAGAATCGAAAAAGGCAATCTCGAGATATTCGCATTTAAAAATTTGAAGCGGTGTTTTCAATGGCCGAATGGTTAGCGCATTGGATTGTCACGCGGGCGACCCGGGTTCGCTCCCCCGAATGTCCGACTTTTTTTTTTTATCACTTTTTCTGCTAGATTTTTCGTTTTTTATTTCAGAATCAGACGGAAGACCTCTCGTTGCTCGCAACGAGTTTCTTTTCTAGTTATTATTATTAAGGTCTTCCGTCTTCAGCGGAAGACCTTCTTGTTATTCTTAGGTTTCTTTTTTACTTTTATTTTAATTAAGGTCTTCCGTCTTCACGGAAGACCTTATAGTGATTGTATTGTTTCTTATTATTCTTATTCTTTTTTTGACAAAATTTTGTGCAGGCGATTTCTTGAAAACTATTCAGCGGTTTTTCATGAAACTTTAACAAAATATGACTTATAATATGAAGTTGTTACTTCCGATGCAAAATTTGGAAAATTCTCTTCTGGTGCCAAGTTATGGACAATTTCCTGATTTTAAAATGCAATTTTGTCGCCCCTTTTTATCAAAAACGGTTTAGGATATGAACTGGAGACTTCTTGGAGATGAGAGATCATGACTTTGTGGTTTGCAGAATCACCTTTTTGTGCGTCGTCAATACTTCCGGTCGTTACAAGAAGCGAAATTAAAAAGTCTGCATTTTCTAACTTTTTTGTTTTTCCATATTTTTCATTTATTTTTGGTATGTTGATAGAAACCTTTCTTCTTATGCTTTCTATACAATTTGTTTCAATATTGATAAATCTAAACTCTAGATATTAGCATTCAAAAATCTGAAGCGGGTCCAAAATGGCGGCTGTCTCTGTCAACGCCGACATTTCGCAATAGGGGTTTACGGAGGCAGCCGAGCGTTTGCTTGAACGAAAGTAACATATGGATAAATGAAATGTAAAGGAATACTTGGATTGTCACGTCGTAGTTACGTTGCAGTTCTGTGTCAAACTAACGTCTTCTATAATTGGTTTTGACTGGTTCTCAAAGTAGAAAAAGAAAAGACTAAATGTGCAAATGAAATTCGATACCTTATATCTTTTATGCATCACGGAAAAACAGATCTTAAATCATACTTATAAGTAATACTTTCTCAAAAAAGAATATCAATTAATATTGAAAGTTTAGATCTTAACCACTGTTTTTCCTATGCACACTTGTGTCATATTAAACTAATAAATAAGACAGAAATAAGAAAACGATTTTTTAAAGATCTCTTCATGGAGTTTATTTTAGAATTCTTGTCTCAAAGACCTGATTCAAGTTATTGAGCATGAATGATATCTGATTCCTTGACCGTCGTAGGGCGAGCCATGTTTTTCGACCTCTTTCGATTAAGTAATCGGGATAGTTCACTTTGGGGATAAACAGGAAATTGAAAAAAGTTAAAAATTCATAACAGTTTCACCGCTTTAGTATTACATGCATATATACAATATGGAATTTGTAAAATGTGTTATATATACTTTCTAAACCTCGAATCTAAAGCTATAAGAACGTTTTTTTTTATTTCATTGAAGCTATCACACCTATTTAATAGAACATTCCACAGAAAAGGCGCGAAGATTAACTCCTAGCGTTTGGCGCCAAATTTTGAATAGTGATCTACCTTTCATACTTTTAAGAGAGAGGCACTGCTTCGTAGAGTAGATGTCCTGATAGTGTAATATTTAGTGCGTTGGAATTTTATGCTGGTGACTTGGGTGCAATCCCCTTGTGTGCAAATCTTTTTTTAACATTTTCAGCTCGATTTTACGTTTTCTTTTCGGAATCGGACGGAAGACCTCTCGTTGCTCGCAACGAATTTCATCTAGTTATTGGGTTTTTTTTTTACCGATTTTGTGCACGCGATTTCTCAAAAACGGCTCGATGGATTTCCATGAAACTTTCAGGACTTATGTAACATCACTCGAACCTAATGCGTTTTTTTCTGTTTTGATGACGTCACTTCCGTTGTTCCGTTTCGAGTTATAAGCATTTTAATGATTTTTTAAGGGTCAGTTTGTCCGCACGATTTCTCCTAAACAGCTTTAGATAGACACGTGATACTTTCAGGTATGGTAGACCTAAGTCTGTAGATTTGTGGAATGTATTTCATTTCTATCTGAAGTGCCGCACGTCGGCGCACGCTATGGCCCGTAAATAGTCGTATCGCAAATTTCAAAATTTTTACCACCTTTTTCTACGATATCTTTTTACCTGGAAATATTTTGTTAAAACATATAGAACAAAAGAAGTGTAGAATTCTGCCATCTTTCAAATGCTATCTTTTAAAAAGGGCTGGCCCCTGAAATTAAGGGCCTAGAGGGGCCGAAATTTTTTCCTTTATATCTTATAAAGTATTGATATTTTGTAATACGTCAAAGAAGCAAAGTTGTTCAAAATGTCAAGCTCAATCCATTGGAGTCATTAAAATACGTCCGTCGTCGTCACTTCCGGCAAAAACCGGAAGTAGTCAAAAACGCGTATTTTTGCCTTTCTTGACAAGTTTTTTGTTAACTTGTGTCTTTGTGATAATATTTATTAATTTTCCGTCCGTCGTCGTCACTTCTGGTCAAACCGGAAGTAGCAAAAATGGCTTATTTTAGCATTAATTAACAGAAATTAAGGTGATTTATACATTTTTGGGCGTTACAACTCATTTTTGTAAAAAATGAAAGTTACTTCCGGTTTCTTCCGGTCAAACAGGACGGAAGACCTTTTTAGGGTTAATAGGTGTGTAGTGTAGGTGTGCGGAACGAAGGTCATTTTGCGCGCATACGCATGCACGTGCGTGCGCGTGCAATGAGTGAAATGACTGATATACTTTATATAGACGTAACTTTTTCATTTTTTGATGAAATACTATAAAACTCATTATATAAGGATATATTAGTAGTGTAAATAATATGACATGGTCAAATTAGCACGAACTCACGCGCATGCACGTGCGCTGTGCTCTGATTGGCTGAAACAAAAACCTCAATATCTTTCTTGTTTTTTGCCGAAATGCTTTGATATTTAAAACATAGTCATGCATTAGGATATCCTATAATTTGATAAATAATAATTTTCATGAAATCACGCACATACATGTGCGCTGTTATCTGATTGGCTTAAACTTTAAGTTGTCATAACTCCCTTGGTAATCAACCAAACAGGATGGAATATAGAACGGAGATAGACATAAGGGACTCCTACAAAAATGTATGGTCATCATGCACATGCATGCACGTGCATATGGTTCGTCTTATTTAATGAAGCTTACAGGGACTAAGGCACAAAAAGGGAGTTGGGGAGCGTTTGGGGAACATCTGTAACGGTTCCCGTTACAATTAGCCCTAGTTAATTTATATGTTACAAACCAACAATGAGGTGGGTTTTTTTTTCTTTCAGTCAAGCAAGTGATGTCAGGAGATGGTTTCTTTAAAGGATTACGGAAAGTATTGTTCTTCCGACCCTATCTGAAGTTATCCATGTCTGTTTTATTTTTGTCTGTAGCAATCTCAGTAGGTAGATACATAAACTCACAGCTTAACTTTGATTCTTATTTTAAGGGGCTTAAATTGTTTTTTTTTTAACTTGTCCCATTTACCAGTAGTCTTTTAAAATTACTTTTAAGCAATTTGGAGCATAATAAAATCATTTGTAATCAGTCAAACCCCATTTTAAACTCTTCATCTTTCCAGATTACTCAAGGAAACTTGGCTCTATTCTGTACATACTCACTTGGCATGGGCAAATATTTCTCCACATTCATCACCATCATCATGGTTAGTATATACATGTACATATAAATGGGTCACCTTTACAGGTTTCAATCATATAATCTGTAGTCTTGCATTAAAGATTTCTTTAAAAACAAATTTCCAGGCCTCCACAATCTGTAGTCTACCTGTCTGGCATTTTATACAAATGAAAATTGGCAAGAAGAGAACCTTTGCCGCTGGAATGTTGGTAAGAATTTTTGGAGAAGCATTATATCTCAGGAAATCTACACAAGATAAAAACAGCAAATAAAACAAATTCGATGCTATTTTAATCTGGTCATTGTTTATCTCTCTTTAGATGTTCATCCCTGTTTTGCTGTCACAGCTTTTCCTTCGTGACAGCTTTCTTGTTTACACTATTATACTGGTCTTCGCTGGATTAAGCATTGCAGTCTCACTTCTTCTACCATGGTATGTACAGAGTTATCTCCCTTCCAATATCAATAAAGTTTGTATTTATATTTTCTTGCGTGACTTTATTTTTTTTCCCTCCCAGGTCTATGCTTCCTGATGTTATAGACGAGTTTTATCTCACACACGGAGAACACAAGGATGCCATTTTCTATTCCTTTTACGTTTTCCTCAACAAACTGGCTACAGGACTAGCAGTGGCCTCTTCTCAGTTTGCTTTAAAGTGAGCTTGCTTCATGTTTTAGTTTCTCTTAGATAAAGAACAAGTTTAGAAACCTGCTTCTTAATCTTTAATTCTGGTTCCTTCATTAACTTCATTTAACATGTAGCGAGAACCAACAATCTGTGGCATATAGAGATAAAAAGAATTTTGTGAGTTTTAATTTTATTTTCTGATTTCAGGTATGGTGGATACCGAGTTGGAGACTGTGAACAACCCCCTGGTGTGGGACTTGCCCTGAGGTATCTAATGATACCGGGCCCCATTATAGCTGTGGTGATTGCTTTAGTGTTCCTCGCTCAGTATCCAATCAGAGATAAGAGAGATCGACTCAGATGACAGGAAATAGTCCGAAATACCAGTTAAATATTCATTCAAAGTAACTCAGCTCAATTAGTCTTAATACTGATAATACAGCTGATATCAACTCCAGATTTACTGAAATAGTCACTGTAAAAATTTAAGATGATTACAAGAAACTGTATCATACAGATGTACAAGTTAAAACTGATATTCATCTAAGACTTCATTTGACATTTTCATTTTTTTTTTTTGGTAATTTTTGTTTTCATTTATGATGACAACTGTGTTTGCATTCCAGCAAAATTAATCATTATATTTTTATACATGTGTATTATGCATTTGCAAGATTTAAGTGCAATATCTGTGGAAGTTAATAAATTGAAAGCCTAAAAGTGTGTGTTGATATAAACCATTAAAAAAACCTAAGCTTGAACTTTTTTTTTACTTCCATGTGCCTTTGACAAATGTATTGTATACAGGCAACTTTCTTTACAAGGCCACTAATACCACAGGGATACATTATTTTAAAATAGATTTTGAAATTGGGTGTTTATTTCGATTTCCATATGTGAGTAAACTTTACTCAACTTTTAAAGTCTATTGTATATTGGTAGGGTAAACTCATTATAACTTGGTCATGGAGTGATGCATCACATCCAAATTCAATTCATCCAATATTAATCCTGTTAAACTGCATTCTCAATCACTAAGAACTTGCTACTGAAAATATCGTTTATGTTCAATTAAAAGAAAAATTATACATGCATTTCACTAATGATCAAAACTTATTGAAACCTGAGTATATTTCCTCAGGACATTTTTTTTTGGATAACTTATTTTTCTCATATAGAAGTTGTACCTCTAGAATCATTAAACCAGATGTTTTAAAAGCTATAAATCCCAACACATTTCTGACAGATATATGTTCATTTTAGTACACCTCTACATGTACAGGGCTATCGATTCTCTAAATCTGGGGCCGATATTCGGCCCCGTTCCCAATGCAAAAAAGGTACCTTTTTTCCCAAAAGAAAGGTGTAAATTTCCCAATTTCCATAGCAAAATATTAATTAAAAAATAAAAGTCCATGAAACTTAATCGGAAAAAAACCCCAAACAAAACACACTTGCAAATGAAAGTGAAACTGTACTTCTGTTTTATTAGTTCGCGCCAAATGTATTTGTAAACTGGTTCGGGGAACCAGGTTATTGTTTTTACAAAAATGTATACTAACTATGAGTGCAGAGTATCTTGTCATGTAGTTTCGACAAAAAACGTCATTTTGGTTTTAAAAAAAGACATTTCATTTAAACATTTGTAAGCTGCATCTAGAAACATACCCACGCTTCGGCATGTTCAGTCTCGCGCTGTATTGGTAAGCAAAGTTGTCCATGTGATCGAGGAAATTCGGGAATATGTGACTAGCGACTGTCACTCAGAAAGACATATAACCGCAATATCAACACTCAAAGATAGTAATGACAAAGCTAATGTACTTTCATAAGTAGCCTTTGTACCCATGTTTGTTCTGTTTAACTGTTTATTTAAAACCAGAGTTAAATTGATGACAAAATGCTAGAAAAGCAAAATTTGAGGATTTTATGAGGAGGTTATCCAACTTTTCCCAAAATGACGATAATCTCCCAATTTTAACCGCCCCGGCCCCAGTCCCAAAAAGTGGTTTAGAGCCCTGATGTATGACAGAATCAAATGCTTGCAATTTTACCTGTTCTTCCCTGAAGACTGTGTCATATTCTGGAATTGGGTTGTCATCAAAATCATCCTCCTTCATGAGAAGCTTGACTTGAACTGCATTGAACACATTGTGTACGTCTACTGGTCTGTGGCTAAACAACAGGAATAGTGAGAAAACATGTCTGGATTCAATTAATTGCTTTTGCCATTATTTTATATCATACTGCAATTTCATAATCCATATTTGCTTTAAAAGAAACAAGAGTGTCACTCATTATACTTATACTAATCTTCAGGACCTGAACACTGAACTTAGTGAAACTACTCTGAATTTTGGCATCAACACATTAAGCTTTTCAATCATATAGGTCAAGGAGTGAAATATTTCAGTCTGATTAGTAGTCCTTTACCTGTCACAAATATAGAAACGAACACAGTCCTCTGGTTGTAGAACATCTACCACGTCAATGGAGGCACCACAATTTATCATCAACACATGCCGCACCTACAAAACATCTTAAAATTTACAAACCACCAACACAGCAATAAATAGTAAGAAACAATTAAAACAAAAAAATTCTGTAAAACTATATATTTTCTCCTTTTTATACAATGAACATTG